GGATATCTAGTAAAGGCATGTAGTGGGCATGTAACATTTTCAACCGGTATTTCATTGAGTTGAACATGGTTGTTACATGTAGTGGATACTTTCCCGACTCTCCATATTAAACTACTGATGGAGTGTTAGAATTGACATGAAGAACTATTCTGAGAAATTTACGGTGAACATTTTCCGAAACCTAAGCACTTTCAAATCTCCAAACTCTTGAAGCATAACATAAGATTGGAGAAACCAATATGTATTTATTCACGCATATGGTGTGTGAGAAAGAGAGCAGAAAATACAGTTCAGTATATGCATGTGCATGAATACAAACATGGGAAATCCGAGTATTTGCAAGAGAAATTGACTGCACCGTGTATTTTCACCTGGGTACTTTGGCAGTGATTTACGTCTACGGACGAGTGCATTTGTGATATATATCTTGCGCATGAGACACACCATGATATTGTTGACGGTGTGTCCAGATGGATTATTGTAACGCAAAAAAACTGGCATCAAGGTATATACTGTCACTCACGGGGTCTTAATACTACATGTTATGCGTTACAAACCCCTATGGGTTTCTAACACTATTAAACTAGTGCGAATGTATCAACAATGTGCTTGACTTCTAAGAAATGCATGACGGCCGGCTGCTCCTACCCTCTCACTTCCAACACTACTGTTAAAATCAGCGTAAATCACAACCCACTCAGTTATCAACATGAAAAGAACCATGTCGCTTAAACCGCATACAACGTTAGATAGTCATAAATGTACCCTGTGAAACCGAGTGAGTGAGTTAAGATTTAAAGTCACATCGGCAATATTTCAGCCATATCGTGACTAAAACTAGTTCTAAAGTTGTAATACATACATATAATATAGAAAACCCTGTCAACGAAGGACAGTAAAACCACTAGATTATCACAGATTGAGTTAAAACTAGCTAACATATATCTTTAAAAGTAGAAAATTATTTCTGGACAATACAATGTAAAATTGGGCTATAGATCGCCAACAACTGAAGGTAGATCACCATACTAGGGACCATGGGGACTTACAGTACATTTGCTTCCTGCATGGACCCTAGCTGGATTTATACCATCCCTTCAGCCGTTAGCAATTAAGCAAATCTAGCCATACAGTAAAAGAACAGGTATTCTACGATTAAAAAAGTGGAACGTTTTAATTTACTTCGAATGTTTTGGGACTTACATACCCTCTCAGGAGGACAATAATTTTACGGTACTTTAACCCCCCTCGAGGATACAGCCACTAACAATCTTAGTTACTAATTCAAACTTCCAATCTTAAAATATTTATGTATTTACAAATCATTTAACAAATCTAATTCTTTTAAAAATGCAATAATTAAATGATAACTGATACTATTAAAAAGATCCTTCATAGTTCGTGATTTAAAATATTTATCCCTTGTGATGGAATACTCAACACAGTCAAGCAAGACATGCTTGACCGTGATTCTTTCATCACAAGGGATACAAAATGGAGGATCCTCACCTTTCAATAGGTATTCATGAGTATATCTTGTGTGGCCAATACGACATCGTCGTATGATGACCTCTTCAAATCTGGACTGACAACCCAAGTAAGAGTAACCAATATAGGGTTTTATTTCATGTAATTTATTGATACCTACTTGGGTGTTCAACTTCTTCTGCATCAGATCACAGATGTAAGTGCTAATGCAAGCTTTGAAATCAGAGTATGGAATTAGAAGTGGTGTCACAGATTTGTTGAGGGCTGCCTTAGCAGCAAGATCGGCCATTGTATTCCCAGAAATGCCAACGTGGCTGGGTAACCAACAGAGGACGATGTCGCATTGGCCAGTAGCAAGATCATTATATAATTCGATTATTTCAATTAAAAGTGGATGTTTGCAAGATAGATTTTTAATAGCCTGAAGGCAAGAAAGAGAGTCAGAAAATATTATATATTGTTTATGTTTACGATGTCTTTGGATATATTTAAGAGCTGTTAAGATGGCGTTTGCTTCTGCTGTAAAGATAGAGCTGTTATGAGGTATTCTAGAAGATATTGTTCTGGATCCAATGACAGTGGCACATGCCACTGCGCCACCGTCCTTGGACCCATCTGTAAATAAGGATTTGTATGTATTATATTTGATTTTTAATTGATTATGTTCTTGTTTATACTGTAATTCATTAGTTTCAGACTTCTTAAACTGTGTCAGGGTGAGGTCAACCTGTGGCCTCACTAATTGCCAAGGAGGAGAAGAAAGAAGACGGGAAGGAGATATACTCTCTAGCTCAATGCCAGCAGCAGAGAGGAAAGGTTTTAATCTGATTCCTAGAGGCGGAATAAGAGATGACGACTTGCTGTACAGATCCCACATAAAGAGGATTAAATACACAGTTAAATGCAGGGTTAGACTCATTAGAATATAATTTTGTAATATACTGTAAGGCTAGTTTTATACGGCGTTGGTTAAGAGAAGGCTCATCGGCCTCGACATACAGACTGTCAACAGGAGAAGTTCGAAAGGATCCAAGGCAAAGTCGTAGTCCTTGGTGATGGACGGAATCCAACAGTTTTAGGTTGCTTTTACAGGCTCCACCATAGACAATGGAGCCATAATCAAGTTTGGACCGTATAAGTGCTCGGTACAGTTGAAGGAGGGTTTTCTGATCCCCTCCCCACTTTGAATGAGAGACAACTTTCAACAAATCAAGGGCCTTCAGGCATTTATTTTTCAAATATTTAATATGGGGTCGGAAGGTCAAATGCTCATCAAAAATTAAACCTAAGAATTTCGCTTCTTTTACTACTTTAAAAGGCGTGTTATCTAAATATAAATGTGGATCGGTGTGAGGTTTATATTTTCGGCAAAAATGGATACAATTAGTTTTTGATTTTGAAAACTTAAATCCATTTTCCAAACACCATTTATCAATCTTGTTCAAACAAAGCTGTAGTTGCCTTTCAATACTATACATATTTTTCCCGCGGCAAGATATATTAAAATCATCCACGAAAAGTGATCCATCAATTGAATCACTTAAAACCTTTGCTAAACTGTTGATTTTAATGCTAAATAAAGTGACAGATAAGATACTGCCTTGTGGGACACCCTGATCCTGAGTATAATGATCAGACAGGGTAGAACCCACACGCACTTGAAATTGTCTGTCGGTTAAAAACTCGGATATAAATTGAGGCAGACGGCCTCTCAACCCAAAGTCATGTAAATCTTTTAAAATACCGTGCTTCCATGTAGTGTCATAAGCCTTTTCTAAATCGAAAAAGATTGACACTGCATGTTGCTTGTTGATAATGGCATTCTTAACGAATGATTCCAATCGAACTAAATGGTCAATGGTACTGCGATTTTACGAAAACCACATTGAATATCTGTGATTAAATTATTCGATTCTAAGTACCATGTTAATCTGTTATTGACCATGCGTTCCATGGTTTTGCAAACGCAGCTAGTCAAAGAAATTGGTCGATAATTAGATGGATCAGTGTGATCACGTCCAGGTTTGGGTATGGGTACAACAATGGCATCACGCCAGGTTGAAGGAAATTTACCAGATGTCCAAATTCCATCAAAGATATGCAAAAGTGTCTCTAAACAAGATTCCGGTAAATGCTTCAGGAGTTGATAATGAATACCATCAGCCCCTGTAGCAGTATTGTGAGCTTGTTCAAGAGCATTAAGAAGTTCATGAAAAGAAAATATGTCGTTATAATCTTCTCCGTTATCCGAATGAAAGTTGATATGCTTCTTTTCCTGTTGTTTTTGATATTTTGAAATTTAGGAACATAGTTAGCTGAGGAAGAATGTTTTGATAGTGTTTCACCCAGTTTATTTGCGATATCAGATTTATCAGTTAACAATTGATCCCCAGTTTTGAGATGGTGTATACTTGATTTGGTACCCTTACCTTTAATTTTCTGGATCATGTTCCATACCTTTGACATTGGCGTTCTTGTATTTAACCTTGAAACATAATTTTGCCAAGACTGGCGTTTATTTTGTTTAAAGGTACGCCGGGCTTTAGCATTTAGAATTTTATATCTATTTAGGTTATGGACCATTGGATGGCGACGGAAATAATGTTCGGCCTTCTTCCGTGCCTTCCTAGCTTGTTTGCAGTCAGCTGTAAACCATGGTTTACGTACATGAGGATTTGGAGAGGACTTCGGAATACAATGATCAGCAATTTTGATAAGTTCATCAGAGAAACATTTTATAGGGTCAGTGGCATCAATAAAAACATCAGGTGTTAGTGCATTAGTACAGAGATTTTCATACAATTGCCAGTTAGCCTTAGTGAAATTCCATCTTGATGATGGAGTAACATCAGATGGAGATACAGATTTTAATATGGTAGGGAAGTGGTCACTTCCGCACAGGTCATCGTGAACTGACCACTCAAATTCACTGAGTAAATTGGAATCTACAAGTGACAAGTCCAGACAAGAGTAAGTGCCAGTTCCCGGATGAAGATAAGTGTGTGAACCATCATTAAAAATGCACAAATCATTGTTTGAGAAAAACTCCTCAAGGATTGTACCCTTTGTATTGCTGTTATTACTACCCCAAAGAGGGTTATGGCCATTTAAATCTCCCATGATAACACAGGGCTTAGGTAACTGGTCATATAATGCCTGAAGATCAACCTGTCGAAGACAAAACGACGGCGGAATATATAAAGAACACAGTGTAAAAACAATATTTAAGGTCACTCGTACAGCGACAGCCTGGAGAGTGGTATTTAAAGGAACAGGGCTGTGAATGACGCCCTGCCTCACCATAACAGAAGATCCTCCAGTAGCTTTATCACCCGGAGGAGAAAAATGATGGTATGAATCATAATATCTCAAATCAAAATGATCGGTAGCTTTAAGGAAAGTTTCCTGTAGGCAAAATGCTGATGGTTTTAGATCTTGTATTAAAAGCTGAAGATCATTAAAATTGTTGCGAAGTCCTCTACAATTCCATTGAATAACATTTGGTGAATAACTCATGGAGGTTCAATTGGAGATCTAGTACGGGGTTGAGGTCCTTTACGCTGTACTGACAGCGATGGAGACACTTCCATATCCAAAGATTCATAAGAGTTATGAACCTCGACAGGGTTTGACACAGGCACGTCCAGAGGTTTGAGTGCCTTTGATTCCTTCTTTCGCGAATGTTTTCTCTTTTTCTAGACAAACGGTGACTAGGTTCATACTGAGGCTGTGACTCAGATTGTGATTCAGGTTCTGGTTCTGCTTCTGCGTCAACTTCAGGTAACTGACAGGTCAAAGATATATCAGTCTGTGTTACAGACGAAGGTGATTTGAAGTCCTTTTCAATGGGATATAATATTTTCTGTTGGTCTGTGACCCAGCAAATTGCTGTCTGACATGCGACTGTTTGCTTAGAGGAGGTAACGACGGCAGAGTATGCTCTTGATTGGACAGTGTTTGGAGACTGTTCTGCCACTAACTTCTTGGCATCAGCAAAAGAGACATTATTGGTGTATTTGACCTTGATAATTTTAGTCTCTCTTTCAAACACAGGGCATGATTTAGAGGACGACATATGCTCACCATTGCAGTTTGCACATCTGATATCTCCAGAGCAGTCCGTGCTGTCATGATTTTTGCTACAACGGGAGCAAACTTGGGTGTTACGACAGGAGTTAGCCCCGTGTCCAAACTGTTGACACTTAAAACATCGGAGAGGATTAGGTATATACACATCAACTCCGATGTTAAAATATCCAGCTTTGATGGAACTTGGAAGCTTTGAAAGAGCAAATGTGAACAGATAGGTATTCGTAGTAACAACTCTGTCATGGTCCTTTCTAGTGTAATCGTTTAACAGATGTCACTCCTTGAGATTTTAGCTCCTGCGTAATTTCCTCCTCGGACATGTCAGACAGACATTTAGCTCTGTCGCGGACAATACCCCTGCATGAATTCAACGATTTGTGCACAGAGACAGTGATGGGAGTGGTTGCAAAATGTTTTGCTTTCAGTAAATTCACGGATTGTTGTCGTCGGGCACATTCTATTAAAAGAGAACCTGACCGAAGACGAGTAACGTTTGTCACGTCACCACAAATACCTTCAACGGCTTTGGATACTGCAAATGGATTTATTTTGAGGGGCAGACCATCAATGCCTTCGACAACTAAAAAACGTGGCCATGAGTTAACATTAGTAGAAGATTCATCATCAGATGAAACAGCATCAGTTTCTAAATGTCGTCTCTTATTTTTACTGCGAGAACCAGTGAGTATTTGTGTAGCCATAATGAGAGAAGTAGATTCGACATCCCCTGCTCCCCACCCACCATGGAGTGTCAACAAGGACGGTGTTGAAGTGGAAACCGACTACGGAACACCAGGGTTACAAGGATGTTATACTCGAGCAAAACAGACACAGGTAGCTAATGTAGGCAAACAGAATAAAAGTCAGGCTGGTTCTGCCCTTGACAGTTATCTGAAGACAATTAGAACCCGGAGGTCAGTAATGCCAGATTGGCCCATGAGCCACCGCCTTCTGGCATAGGACTCTAGGCAATTTGATATATCAATAATTTATAATCAGGAAATCGAAAAAGCCAACACCCCAAAAATGAGGAAAATGTGCAAAAATATACACCATGCACAGGGCTTGGCGTGACCAGCCGATTGATAGAACCGGGCCAGTTCTACCACCCGTCTAGGTAAAGTAAGGGTCGAAGTGGTGTGTTGGGCAAGAGGAACACGGTTCCAGGCTCCTAGTGCCCTCAACCACCAGACTCCCGTCCTCTACCGACACAGGGGCGCAACCCACGGCAAACGGGTTGGTGGACCAAATATGCCCCCGGGTCCACAACGGGGGGTTGAAGGGCGCTTAGCGTGACCCAGCACCCACCACGAGGAGGTGGCCCTTCATGGGTGCCAATCTTTGGTAGGAATTTTCTGATAAAAATCAGACTTTAACATAATATGTCACATGTGAGGTGAGGTGAAATTGGGTTTAACGTCGTGCTTGAGAATATTTCGCTCATATGACGACGTCACATGCATGTGATAGCACGAGTCTCGACTATGTTGTTTTATGCCATGTTAATAAGAAGTATCACATCAACATCATGGCGCCTCGCTAATAATCAAGTCTGGTTCTGAAAACCAATGACTACGAGTATGAGCAATACTTTGCGTCTTCGGATGACACAGCAAGGGTTACACACAGTAGTACCAAATGATCCAACCAAGGGCAAATGCACAGGGTGGAAGCACTGTCCACGCGAAATGTGGAGTTGCCCCCAAAGCAACTCCATTTCCTCGCTGGACAGTGAAAGAAGAATACGTGGTGCAAGAGTAATGGTAAGTTTTCCCTCGCATTTTCATTATTTTGCAAGTTTATCAGGTTTTGCGATTTGGTAGGGTGAGTGAGTGAGTGCGATACTATTAAGCGTCACATCGGCAATATTTCATCCATATCGTGAGGAGAGCAATTTCATTTATATCACTATTAACAAAAAATGTAGAACGTAAAAACCAGTCATCGAAGGACAGTAAAAATACTAGAGTATCACAGCTCTTAATTTAAAACTAGGATGTAAAACTAAAACATTTTAATCAAAAACGACAATACAACAGAAAACAAGGGCTATAGATCGCCAACAACTGACGCTAGATCACCATACAAGGGACTAAAGGGACTTACAGTGCATTTGCTTCCTGCATGGACCCTAGCTGGATTTACATCATCCCTTCAGCCGTTAGCAATTTTACTATTACAAAAGTGGAGAACTTAAATCTACTTTGGATATTTGGGGACTTACGTATCCTCTCAGGAGGACAATAATATTACAGTACTTTAACCCCCCTTCAGGATACGGCCACTAACAATCTGAGTTACTAATTTAAACTTCCAATCATAAAAATATCTATTTACAAATCATTTACACAATCTATTTCTTTTAGAAATGCAAGAACTAAACAAGAACTTATATAAGTTCGTGATTTGAAATAGTTATTATCATGTGATGGAATATTCAACACAGTCAAGCAAGACCTCTTCAAATCTGGTGTAACCGATAGTTGGTTTAAATGCATGTAGTTTATAAATGCTTACTTGAATATTCGTCCCACTTCTTCTGCATCGGATCACGGATATAAGATCTGATGGTAGCTTTATAATCAGAGTATGGAATCAGAAGTGGTGTCACAGATTTGTTGAGTGCTGCCTTACCAGCAAGATCAGCTATTGCATTCCCAGAAATGGCAACGTGGCTAGGAAACCAACAGAAGACGATGTCGCATTCGTCAGTAGCAGGATCATTATATTATTCACTAATTTCTATTAAAAGTAGATGTTTGCAAGAACATTTCTAATAGCCTGAATGCACGAAAGAGAGTCGGAAAATATTATATACTATGTGTATTTAGGGTGATTTCAAATATATTTTAAGGCTGTTAATATGGCGTTTGTTTCTGCTGTGAAAATAGAGCTGTTATCTGGTAAACGAGAAGAGATTGTTCTGGATCCAATGACAGTGGCACAAGCCACTGCACCACCATCCTTTGACCCATCAGTAAATAAGGATTTGTATGTATTATATTTACTTTTTAATTGATTAAATTCTTGTTTATATTGTAATTCATTCGTTTATGATTTGTTAAATGTGGTTAATATTAAGTCAACTTGTGGCTTCACTAATTGCCAAGGAGAAGAAAGAAGACTGGATGGATTTTCCAGCTCAATGCCCGCAGCAAATATAAATGGCTCTATTCTTAGCCCAAGAGGTGGAACAAGTGAAGTTTTCTTATCATACAAATCCCCATAAAGAGTATTAAAAACGCACTTGTAAGCAGGGTTTGACTCCTTAGAATACTGCATACTGCAAAGATAATTTTATACGGCGATGTTTTAAAGATGGCTCATCAGCCTCGACATAAAGACTGTCAATGGGAGAAGTTCGGTAGGATCCATGACAAAGTCTTAGACCTTGGTGGTGGATAGAATCCAGAAGAATAGAAGCCGTTTTCAAGACACCATTTATTTATTTTGTTTAAACACAACTGCCATTGCCGTTCAATAGTATGCATATTTTTACAGCGACTGGAAATATTAAAATCATCCACAAAAAGTGATCCATCATTTCAATCGTTTAAAACCTTGAATAAACTATTTATCTTGATACTAAACAATGTGACAGACAAATAACTGCCTTGTGGGACACCCTGATCCTGATTGTAATGATCAGACAGGGTTGATCCCACGCGTACTTGAAATTGTCTGTCATTTAAAAAGTTGGCTATAAATTGAAGCAAACGGCCCCGTAATCCAAAATCATGTAAATCCCTTAAAATACCATGTTTCCACGTAAAGTCGTATGCTTTTTCGAGATCGAAAAAGATCCACACTGCATGCTGTTTATTAATTATGGCATTTTAAACAAAAATTCTAAACGCACTGAATGATTAATTGTACTTCTGTTTTTACGGAAACCACATTGTATATCAGTTATTAGATTATTGGTTTCCATGTTCCAAACTATTCGATTATTGATCATGCGTTCCATGGTTTTGCAAACACAGCTAGTTAGTGAAATTGGTCTATAATTTGAAGTATCAGTATGGTCACGTCCAGGTTTAGGAACTGGAACAATTATAGCATCTCGCCATGAAGAAGGAAATTCTCCCGCTGTCCAAATACTATCAAGGATATATTAAAGTGTCTCCAAACATGATTCCGGTAAGTGCTTCATGATCAGGAGTTGAAAATGAATGTTATGAAGCTCATGAATAGAAAATAGTTCATTATAGTCTTCCCCATTATCTGTGTTGAATTTATAGTTTTCTTTTCTTGTTGCTGTTGATACTTTTGAAATTTAGGTACTTAGAAGAGTGCTTAGCCAAAGTTTCACCTAATTTATTTGCAATATCTGAAGTATCTGTTAATATTTCATTTCCATTTTTAAGGCGGTGGATGCTAGATTTAGAGATTTAGTGCGCCTGGCTTTGCCATTTAAGATTTTAGATTTATTGAAATTATGGACCATAGGATGGCGGCGGAAATATTGCTCAGCCTTTTTTCCGTGCCTTCCTCGCTTGTTTGCAGTTGTCATCAAACCATGGTTTTCGTATGTGAGAAACAGAAGAGGACTTCGGGATACATTCATCAGCAATTACATTAAGTTCACCAGAAAAACATTTTATGGGATCAGGAGTGCCAATAAAAAGTTCAGGCTTCAATTTGTTAGTGCAAAGAGTTTCATATAAAGGCCAGTTAGCTTTTCTAAAGTTCCATCGTGATGAAGGAGGAACATCAGATGGGAACACAGGTTTCAAAATAGTTATCAAGTGATCACTTCCGCAGAGGTCATCGTGGACTGACCATGTGAATTCACTCAATAAATTTCAATCTGCAAGGGACAGATCTAGTGATGAATATGCACCTGTAGTTTAAACAATGCACAGGTCATTATCAGATATGAAATCCTCTATCACTTTACCTTCTTGATTCATGATTGAACTTCCCCATAAAGGATTATGTCCATTTACATCGCCCATGACAATAAAGGGCTTTGGCGGCTGGTCGCATAAGTTTTGAAAATCAAGCATCTGATTAGTTGAAGACGGAGGAAGGTACAAGGAGCAAAGTGTGAAAGTAATGTGCAGTGTAAGGCGAACTGCCACAGCTTGCAGATTTGTGTTTAAGGGGAACAGGACTATGAATGATGCCCTGTCGCACCAAAACAGAAGAGCCACCCGTAGCTTCATCAGGAATGAATTATACTCTCTGAATTCAAACTTATCTCTATGATAGGTACGTCGCTTGTAAACAAATTGCTGATGGAAGTATATCATTTGCTTAAAGCTGCAGTTCATGGGAATTAGTCCTCTGCATTTCCGTTGAAGACGATTGGAATGGCTCATGGTGCTTCTATAGGTGATCTTTCACGTGAACGTGAAGAGTTGTTATCACCACTAGCAGGAGTAAAATCGATCTCTACTGGCTTAATGACGATATTGAGATCTACTGATGTTTCAGTAGTAGTTGGGGATCTTAGTTTTTATGTTCTTATTTTATTTTTTCCTTTGTGATTGTGACACTTCAATCGATGATTTTGTTGTAGCTGGTGTCTCAGGAACTGAGATACCTTGAGATGCTGAAAAATTTACGCATTGTTGA